ATGAGATGCTGAGAATACATGGAGGAAGTACCACCCAAAGCTGATCTTGTGCTCATTCCCAAGCATCGGTTACTGCAGCTGTTAGCAAGAGGGCTGCACGAGATGGGCTTCAGTGAGGCAGTACTGCTGATCCTGTGTCTGCTCAACTGCAAGATGGTAAGTACCCAAATAATTTGTTCTCTTCCAAATAAAAGAGAAATTCAGCAAAAATACAGTCCAGTTATTAAAAAAAAAAAAAAAATCCCAACTCTAAATGAGCTTTTGAAGTTCTGCCATCAGTAGTAAAACTTAAGAGCTGTTTCAGGCTGTTAGTTTTAAGTAGAAATACCTGATGTATTCATAAAGTGTTCACCACAGACATGGTGTAATTTGTGGTGATATTTACTAGAAATTATAAAAACTTATTCTTTTTGGCAAGGAATGTAGTTAGTTTAATTGTTTCAAATCTGGATAGGTAGCTTGATATAATGTCATTTTATCTATCCATTCATCATGTTCTTGTGAAATAGCAACTAAAGGACTGTCTTCTAGGGCATCTAGCAGCAGAGTCCACTGTAGCACTTCCTGTGCAATTATTTTTTTCTCAGTTTGGCCCTATTTATAGTTTTTGCCCAGGGGTCTCCCCTTTTTGAATATTTTTTTCAAATCAAGTAACCATCTGGAATATGAATTCCTCTCAGTTACTAGGATTGACTCCAAAATTGCATTTGTTAGTTTTGTCCTTTGTTTTGTCCTTCAATTCACTTTAGCTCAGGCTCATACAATCAGTGACTGTTGCTGTGCAATATCAGTTTTGTTTTACTGAGATAGTGTTTGCATTTGGCTCCTACATTGTCAAATTATGATAACTTATATGGCTGTTCTAGAGAGGAATTATGGTAATGTGGATAAAACAAATTTGATTTCAAAGATCAACATTTTCATTTATCTGTAGAATCAGGAAATACTGATCCTTTTACAAAACTGTAGTTTTAAAGAGTACATTTGTGAAAATCTTTTTCTGAATAAAATTGAATACCAGCATTTATGTAGTTTACTGAATCTTTTGTCATGCGACAGTTGCATTCTGCTATCCCTTTTCCTTACAGCTTCAGTAAAAGCTGTGTAAATCATTTCTTGTTGTAAGTAAGTAAGTAAGCAAGCAAGGGCAGTGGTAAACAGGAAGAGATGCTTAATCACAAATACGATAATTCTCGTGAGTAAATTATAATTTTATCCCTTTCCCACATTGCGTGAATTGATCCAGACTGCAAACTGTTGTATGGAAGAATCCTTAACACATAACCAGATTGTTTAGAGAATGTGTTTTACTTTCCAGAATCAAATACAAATTAGTGCTAATCAAAGGGCACTTTTCCCCATAATGGTACAAGCAAAGGATTTATTATTTCAATGCAGCTTTTTCTTCACAAACCGTATCACTTCCTAGGAACGAACTTCCCAGCCAGCAGGGCTGAGTTCGCTAAAGCATCTTTTCCCAGAAGCAAGTACAAAACGGGGTTTTAAGTAATGACGAGAGACCTGGGCGCTGATGGCAGCCCGTGGAGGGCGTGCGGGGCGGGTGTCGCTGTGCGGGCCGGTGTCGCTGTGCGGGCCGGTGTCGCTGTGCGGGGCGGTGTCGCTGTGCGGGCCGGGTGTCGCTGTGCGGGGCGGTGTCCCTGTGCGGGCCGGGTGTCGCTGTGCGGGGCGGTGTCGCTGTGCGGAGCGGGTGTCGCTGTGCGGGCCGGTGTCGCTGTGCGGGGCGGGTGTCGCTGTGCGGGCCGGTGTCGCTGTGCGGGGCGGGTGTCGCTGTGCGGGCCGGGTGTCCCTGTGCGGGCCGGGTGTCCCTGTGCGGGCCGGGTGTCGCTGTGCGGGGCGGGTGTCGCTGTGCGGGCCGGTGTCGCTGTGCGGGGCGGTGTCGCTGTGCGGGCCGGTGTCGCTGTGCGGGCCGGTGTCGCTGTGCGGGGCGGTGTCGCTGTGCGGGGCGGGTGTCGCTGTGCGGGACGGTGTCGCTGTGCGGGCCGGGTGTCGCTGTGCGGGCCGGTGTCCCTGTGCGGGGCGGTGTCGCTGTGCGGGCCGGGTGTCGCTGTGCGGGCCGGGTGTCGCTGTGCGGGGCGGGTGTCGCTGTGCGGGCCGGTGTCGCTGTGCGGGCCGGGTGTCGCTGTGCGGGGCGGGTGTCGCTGTGCGGGCCGGTGTCGCTGTGCGGGCCGGTGTCGCTGCGGTGCTCGGTCGGCCCGGAGGGTGGCACTGGACCTCCACGCACCGCCCGCCCCGCGCGGCGGGACCGAGCCCGGCGCGGAGCGCAGGCAGCTTAAAGGTGCTGCCTTTGCTAGGAGTCAGCGCTCTCGGTCATGTTTTTTGTCAAAATATTGGCACCGGTTCTGCAAGGTGGCTTCTGAATGGTTTTGGTGCCATAGGCACAGTGCTGTTTTCCCGGGAGTGAGTAAACAAACCCCAGCCTGCTCTCTGCATTCCCTTACCCGGAGAAGGGCAGGAGGTACACCCGTGGGTAGGAGCCCGTCGGTTTCTGGCTGGGATGAGACTGGGAGCTGGGCCATATGTTGTTAAGGGCAATACACAAGAAAAGCCGGGTTGGGAAACCTCTCTTCTAGATGAAGAGTCCTCTTGTTGCATCTCTGGTTTTTTTCCCCCATGGGGAATTGCCTATAGGAGCATTTGCAACTTCCATATGTGGCCTACTCAAAAAGATCTTGCAGAGTTTAAATGTGATTGTTGCCCACAATATTTTGCTATAACATCGTTGACTGCAGGTCCTGATCTACTGTGTTCAGCTACTCAGTTAACAGGGCTGTTGGCAACAGCTGTGTCCAGAGACAGTAAGTGAGCCAGGGAAAGTGGTGAAAATATCACAGATTTTGCTTATGTATTCTAGGGGGACAATGATAATGCTACAGAATAAAGAAATCCCACATCTTTAAGGAAACTTCAAGAATAAATGTTAAGGCTTTGGGTACTCAGTTTTGACCTTGCTGTTTATCTTTAAATGATAAAATCTTTCTTAAGAACAAAATGAAAGACTGAATCTCTAAGTGAGCACCTAGCTTAAGCCCCTAGTTCCGATCATAGGAATGTATTGTCAAGACAAGGAATTAGTTAATCCTGAAAGGGGAAAATTTTTTTCTTTTCTTTATTTACATTTTTTAAAACATGTTTGTTTGTTTTCCTGCTCAGCTCCCCACGCCTTGTAAATTGTGAATTTCTCTTTTGGCTATGCATGATAAGGAAATCGGTTTCATTCTACAAGTGTGTTAATCATCCCGTAGTTTAAAAATATTGAAGTGTAAATGCCTTAGTTTCTAAAGGGGTTGATCTTAAAATAATTCCAGTGATGTGACCGTTGCAAGCTCTTTCATTTTATAAACTGAACTGCAGGTTTAAAGTGACGCTTAATGTGGTCTCACCCTAAAATGAGCAGGAGGGTGAAAAATTAGTTTTGACGGTGACATTGGTGGCAATTGCATTAGATTGTTACTAGCTTGGAACGACAAAGATCTTAATACTGTGATTACAATCCCGAATGTGCAACTGTTCAGGGTTAAGTAAAATACACAGGAAAAGGAGTATTTGAGGGACTGAGGCGTGCTGAGTTGCGGCACTGAAGTATTTCAGTATTGGGCCGTCAGGGTTAAACGTTGATTGCACGAAGCTGGAACAAGCCGTGCTCTCCGGGCACTGAGACAGTAGCAAGGGTTGGCCACAGGAGGCACAGCCGGTGTGTGCTGCAGGGAGAGATTTCCCTGATCCCTGCGGGGCTGGGCATGGTGAGATGCAGATCAGCTCTGGGCCGTGTCCGTCTCCACCCCCCGCCCCGTCCCAGCTTTTGCTAACCCTTCTTGTCTTCTGATTGCATTGATCCTCTGAGAGGGCGCGCTTCTGCTTGGGCAGGGCAGCGTCAGTATTAAGAGATCAGAGCTGGCTTTCTCCCAGCCTACGTGAATGGATTTGGTGTCAAGGGCAAGGAAGGCAGCTGCTGCTGCCCCAGAGCACCACCCACCCACCTGTTCGCTGGTGAAAGTGTTACTGGCCCCAGGTGAGGCTCCTGCCTTTCACGCTAAGAGTCCCAGAGCACAGGAACCCTTAACATGCTCCCTCAGGCCCAAAGCATAGTGCCTGCCAGAGAGCTGTACTTACCTGAACCAGCAGTGAAGTTTCTTTTGTTCCAATTTCAAGTGACTCTTCACTTCCTAAGCAGGACCCACAGCTTAACTTCCCATTTCAGGGAAGTTTGAGTAAGCTTAATTTAGAATGTCATCTGATAAGGCACAGTTCCCACATTTACTGTCTTATGACAACTAAACAGATCTAATGGACAGTAGTTCCATAGGGTACATTAAGCGTCCCTTGAATAAGGGATATTATAGCATAGCTTCCGAGGGCAAAAGAGAAAAGAACAAACAAACCGTTGCTGGCTTTCAGGAATTTAGACTCCTATTTCAAACTTAATTTAATTCTTATGGAGAGAGTCCCTGTAGGAGCAGCCAAAGTTTAATCAGTAACACAACAGCGATTTAGCTCAATTCCCAGTATCTTAGTCATATGGAGAAGCTGCTGCAACTGATTAGAAACCCCATTTCATTGAAATATTGCATGGAAGCATGAAAATTCCAGTGTGGAAAGGCAACAGTCACTTCATCATTCTAGATCCCATGTTAACGCATCACCAACCCTCACATTCAAAGCCTTTTTAGAGAAATTTAATCATTGGGGGACTAATAACCACCCACTACCCTGAATTCTTAGTGATTATTCTAAACACAAATTACCAGATCTGGGCCATTACTACCCTAAACTGAATCATTCATAGGGGTGGGAAGGAAAAAACCAGGCAATACTCCATGGAATGTCTCAGGATTAACTGCTATTGTACATTTCCAAACACTTTTGTCAATAGCATCCCCTGTGTAATAAATTCCTCACCTAGTTCCTTTCACACTGCTTACAGGCAGATCACTTAGAAGTTTGCAATATACACTCAAATAAGACTTTCCAAGTTACAAGAATTATTCACTTCACGTAATTTTATTCTTTGTATTCTCTACATATTTTAATTTGTACTTAATAAAAGTCATAACAGAATGTGTAAGTATTAAAAAAAACAAACAACAAAAACACAACACAAATCAAAGCCAGCAAACAGTTGGTCCCCAAAGAATAAAGCAAGCAATCAGTTCAATAAACACACTTGATTTATTTTGTATAAAAAGGGTTAAGATTACAACTAAACTTTTATAAAAAGTTTAGCATGATTAAGTACATCATTACACTTTTTGCAGAAATGTATATTTCTGCCACTATACAAGAAAACTCTAATTAAAGAGTTCACAAGATTTCACTCATATATATATATTTATATATAAATATATACACAGCATTCAGTCCTAGGTTTGTGTCAGAAAGGTAATTTCTGACCACAGACTTTCCTAAAAAACTGAAAACTGGATCCTTCTGGTACTCACGCTCCACCTTTGGAAAAAAAGGCAAAGTCTGCTTTAAAATGGGCAACTCCTTGTGAGATTTTTGTTTCGCTCCCCACGTTGGGAATAGTATATAAAGGAAGCCTTCCAACTAGGGAAAGGGTATTTAAGAGTCTCTTCATAAATAACTAGGTTCAGTCCAAGTTGAAAAATGGGGTGGGGATAAAGATCAATCTTGATTTTTTTTCTTATGTATTAATTTTAAAAGGTCCTTTTAGTCGAACGTGGATCTTCTCCTCCAGATACAGCTGAAAAATAAATTCAGCACCTCAAAAAAAAAAAATCCTGTAGACGTTTTCTTGTGCAAAAAAAAAAAAAAAGAAAAAAAACAACCACCAACAAACCAGAACACAACTCATCAGTGGAACACCTGCAAGAGATTGAAAAGAGGCATATTTAGGAGAATGCTAACAGGGCAGAGATCCGGACAGACTGGCGCCAGAGAGGAAGCCACAGTTTGAACATTTAACCAAACACTCAGAGATTGGGCAAACCCTGGCGTCCAGATGCAACACATACACGCTCGCACACTCGCTCTCAAGAACACAGATTGAACATTAAAATAACATACACTCCAGGGAAAGGGTAGAAAGAGGATTCTCAGTCCAATCTTTATTTAGATCTCTGTAAACGCAATGTTCAGAGGCGCCAGTCTGCCTCTTAGAGCAATTATTTGATTAAAAGCAGTCATTTATTTAACTGATAGCGCAGACAATCCCACATCACAGAATTAAGGAATTTTGCCAAGATTCCCGACTTAATCAGTCACTTTGGCCCGGGAAGTTAAGACTCCAAGAACAGATAAGAACTTGCATTAAGGAGCGAGCAGGATCAGAGCAGCCTGCGTTGCTGGGTGAACCTCAGCGACACACACACTTAGAACCCTACGACCCAATTATTACCCTTATTTCTTAGTGATTACAAAGGCATCTCCTAACCAACTTTTAGGACAGACTTTTGGCACTAACCATCACGGCTCCCGTTCCCCAGGGAGGAACTTTTTACGCGAAGTTTAGAAATAAGACGCACTGCACTCACCGCTCTGTTCAGCCACAAAGTGCTTTGCTGTCGCCTGACATGAGCTCTGAGGGGAACTCGGATGCCTGCGACGAGAAAAAAAAAGAGCACGGTAAGGGCGAGGTGGCCGAACACTCAGGGAGCGGGAGTGTCCCGGGTGCCGCAGCGCTTCCCCCATGGCACGCCTGCACAGATCCGCGCCGCGGGGACAGGGACATCGATAATGCTACCCGAGCTCCCGATCCAGGTCAGCGGCGAGCCGGAGAGCGGGGGAGCCACGTACCTGTAGCGAGAGAATGCTGATGTCTGTGTTGAGGGTGGTCAGAGGAGTTCTGGAGGAAGGGTTCTGCCCGGGTCTCTGGTGGTGGAGGCTGACGATGTTGGGGTGGGAGTCCAAGGCGATCTGCAGGTCCAGGATGTAGTCGATGACGTGCTGCAGAATTTCCATCTTGCTCACCTTCTTGTTTTGCGGGATGCTGGGGACCAGCTCCTTCAGCTTGGAGTAACAGTCGTTCATGTTGTACAGCAGACTCATGGGGTCATCCACGGGGGTCTTGCTGCGGGAGATACCCAGGTTGTGCTCCGAGAGGCCGGTTTTCCTGACGGACCGCACGGGGCTGAAGGCTTTCATGCTGGCAGGCGGGCAGAAGAGCGCGATTCCAGCGGGCGGACCGGAGCCTGCGGGGCTGGCGCTGCCGTCCCGCTCGGGCGCTGCCGGAGCTCGCTCTGAGGGCCGGCGCTGCGCGCTCGCTCTTATACGGCTGCCGCGGCCGGGCCCGGCCCGCGCTCGCTGCCATTGGCTGCCGCCGCCGCGTCCATCACCCCGCCGCGTCCTCACTGGTGGGGCCTTCCGCCCGCGCAGCCAATCGCGGCGGGGGGCGTGGCCGCAGGCACAGCTGGGGCAGTAAATAGTGCGGGGCTGTGCGGGCGGCGCGGGTTGCGGGGGGTGCCGTGCTCGGGTGTTCGTGCCCTCCCCTGTCCTGTACCCTGCAGTGCCCCCTGTCCCACCCTGCCCTCCGCACAGACCCTGCAGGGTGCGGGGCTGGCGGTGCGCGACGCGCAGACCCCGCCGCAGTGAGCGGTGGTGCGGGCTGAGCTTTCTCCAAGTCGTCCTGAATTGGAGCATCCCGGCGGTGTTTCTGTGAACCCAGTCAGCACACGGTCCCGTAAATCACTGACTGGGTCAGCAGCCCAGCGCTGTAGGCTGCGGGTGTAAGCGGGAATAAGATAAATCAAGATTAAATAAACCTGTAAAGCCCATTGCAACTTTCTGCCCTGATGAGAACGGGGCACTAAACACCCCGCCAGTCAGGCAGGCAGGCGCTGTTTCCAGCGCCCTGCTTCCCGAGAACAGGACTACTTCAGATCATACTATTAATTGGAGATCATTAAGCAAATGTGCATATTGGAAGTGCATTTACATGTATTACCCTTGAAAGGCTGCTCATCTGCGCCCTATCAGTGCTCGTGACACAGTGCTGCCATTAATTATGCATAGATTGTTTCTGGTGACAAATGCAAATGCTTACTACACGCTGTACTTTTAGCAGCTTTTGGCTGCAGCCAATGAAACATCTTCCAGAAACATTCCAGAGGAAAAAGTTAATTTATTTTGTTGTTGTTGTTTAGCTGGAGAACTGACTTTATTTTTAAGTTTAGCTCCGCTGTATTTTCCTATATTTTGCTTATACTAGCGGCTGTGTAACAAACGGACACAGCCTCCACCCCCCATTTCACATACTACCTGAGGAAAATTCAACTCACAAAATTGTGAACATACATAGATACAATTAATACAAATGAAATTCTGCACAAATCGCAGCAATTCTGTAATAACCACACGGATGCTAAAGTACGTTAGCGTTCATTGCAAACAAAACCGTAGTAACGGCACACATCCATAAAATCAGTGAGGATTGTGCTGTCAATCATAACTATTAAAAGCAGACAAATATTGGATATATCTGCACAGTTGTTGCGTAGCTACGCGAAGGGAGCCGGGGCTGTGGGGGAGGAACATTACGGACACTTGGAGACAAAGCTGAGAAGAGCCGCATCAGTGTTTTTTCCAATTAACGTAGCATTCCTGAGCTGATGGTTGGCTATTCTCTAGCAGGACACTTTGGTGACTGTCACACCAGGGTGTTTGCCCCGGGGATGTTCTCCGGGGGTGGACTGGAGGCGGTGCCGAGGCTGACAGGAACACAATTCAACGCGTTTTGAAACGCGAAGTGTGAAAGTGAATCTCGACATTCAATCTGATAGGAAGACAAATACACTGTTCAAATACAGTTACAGAAAATAAATAGTAAGAACTATTGTTATTGTTACTGTTATTATTATTAGTTACAGTAACACTGGCAATTAACGACTCGATTAAAGTCACTACTGAGATCGACTTCAATCCTTTACATCGCTAAGCTATCAACTGGTGAGGGTACTTGGCCTGCGGCCGCAGGTTTTAATCTTGCAACATGATTGCGTTTCTGTCTAATGAAGGCACCAGTGGAAGAAATTTTGACAGTTTTTAGTGTAATAATAGCCAACGTAAATATGTTCATGCTTCTCCCATCGCTGTCGTGCTTGGACAGCGCAGCAGCGCGGCAGCACCGGCCGGCCGGACGCTGCAGAAGACCCTGTGGTAATGCTTTCCGTTTTCTACACCGAGGGCTTTAAGAACACCGGGAAGTTGTGCGGAGAGTCTAACCTGTCAATTTTTTCTGTCATCAAATGACTGTCATGTGCGCTTTCTGCGCGCAAAGTAGAGCCCGCGAGCAAGCTGCTCTTCCCCCAAGCGAGCGGCTGAAGTGGCTTTTTTCTAACGTATCATTCCCACAATTCTGATCTTTTAGCCATGACAGCTTTGGCAGGGGCTCACAAGCTCTGGAAGCTCTTGCGCTCCGACGCAGGTTCCGCGCGCGGTCCCGGCAGCCGCAGCTCTGCCGCTGCCCGTGGGGGGAGCGCCGGGAGGGCCCCCGAAACCATCGGGGCCGCGAGCTGCTCCTCGGGGGCTTTTCCCCACGGCCCGTCCCAGGCTGCTCTGGGTGCCTCAGGAGCGGCGCGTTCGCCTCTCTATAGTTTTCAGCTGGGATTTTCATAGCCGGCTCCCAACCCCTGAAACGCCGCCGCTGCAAACATCTGGCAGGACCCGCGGCCGCCCAGAGCCGCGCACAAAGCACCGCTTTCTCCTTAAAAAAAAAAAAAAAAAAATCAGAAGCGCGGGGCTGCGCTCCGCGGGCGCGGGGGGCCCCGGCCCGCCCGGCGCCAAGCCCGGGGCGGCTCCGGGTGCGCGGCAGCGGCGGCGGGAGCGCGGCCGCCCCGGGGGCGCCGTGTCCCCCCCCGCCACCCCCGCGCCCCGCCCCGCGCCCGGGGCCGGCCCGGACTGCGCGGCGCCAGCCCCGTGACATCAGCCCCTCGCCGCCGCCCCCCCCGCCCGCGCCGCCCGGGCCCGGCGGCGCCGCTCAGGCGGCTGCCATGGCGACCGGGGCTGCGCCCGCGGCGGCCGCCCGGCCCCGCTTCCCCCTCCCGGGCGCACCTGCAGCGGGGGCCGCCGCCGGACGCCCCGCCATGCCGCGGGGGGGGGAAGGAGGGAATGTGGGAAGGGAGGGAGCCCGCAGAAAGGAAAGAATAAAACGGGGGGAAATCGCGGAGGGATGAAGGGGGCGCGTCCGCGGGAAAGGTCCCGGCGCTGCTCGCCTCCCTCCCGGCGGCCCCGCGGGCCTGGGTCGCCGCGACCCGGGCTGGGGTGCGCTTGGGTCCTGCCACACCAGCAACACCCCCTCACCCCCCCACCAAAAGGAAAAAGTATTTTCTACGAGGAAAACAAGTCATGGGTTTTTTTGAAGGCTGTCTGTCCTTTCGCCTTCTAAGGTCTTCTCAGCCCGGGGTCCCCCTCGGGGGCGTGTGCGGGGCGAAGGACTGCGGGAACAGCCCGCGGGGCTGCGCGAGCAGCGAGTTCCTCCGCGTTCGCGTCCCCTGCCTCTAATGAAATTTATCTAAAACATCCAGTAATAATGTAAATGGCTTTAATTACCGCGTACTTAAGCCATCAAAACAGACTAAAAAAAAAAAATCTGTTAAAATTGGCCCGTTTCCAAGTCATTGACACCAACCAGCCTGTCCAAATGGGGTGTCCAAATATGTTTTGGTACAGGAGTTTTCAGTTTACCAGGTAAAATATCTCGCTAAACCCAGCCGCTTTTAACTACCCGCTCCCTTTTGTTTGCCTCACGTTTCCAGTTCATTCAAAGAAAAGTTTTAGAAGTTTGGGAGTTGGCTTTTTTTTTTTTCTTTCTTTTGAGCGGGAGGGAGAGTAATGCATGCAAAATATTTAGTTACAACTTCTGCGAAAGGCACCGATCTGTAACAGCATTTTCTACTTTCACAAAGGATTTTCCTGTTACTTTTGTTCCGGTCACAAAATTAAAAAAAAAAAAAAAAAAGGCGAAAGAAAAAAAAAAAACTTGGGGGAGAGATAAGGTCTGGAAAACAATCTGGAATTGCCAGGCTGTTGGTGGGAGCTCTGCGGGGCTGGCGTCAGGAAGTCTGCGCCGCCTTCTATTACTGTTGATCCAGCTTTGTGCAGCTGCACTCAGTACAATTAGCTTGTAGAAACAATCCTGCTGTAGGCAGCCTCTTCCCTTCAAAGTGCTTTTCTATACTGATCCCCTCACATCATGATGCTGGAAATCAAGTCACAAGCCGACCACTGTTTGGCCAACATCATCTGTGGGAATTCATTAACCTCCATCGCAGAGATGCAACAAGAGATTGTTTGTCCAGAACTAAACTTACAGCTTAATATGATGTAGCCCATACAGGAAAAAAAACCTATGTCCCCGTTTTTTTCCTCCCCCCCCCCTTTTTTTTTTTTTTTTTTTTTTTTTTTTTTTTGTCCATAACAAGAAACACATTGTGCAGCTTTTTATTCTTTTTTTTTTTTTTTTCTTCAGGGGGTGGGGAATGTAGCTGAAACCAGGCATGAGCCGGCTCCTGCTAAAACTTTGCCATCAAACTGTTTTTTTGGTTCATCGGGCTGTAGTTTCCATAGAAGCAACTTATCCCCGCGATCATCTTGTCGGGTGCACTTCGCAAGCTCATTTCCCGTCTGAGCTTGCTCCGCTGCTCTCGGATGCTGCAGCTGACACATTTCCTCCCCGTGCACTTTGCACCCACCTCATCCTTGCCCAGATGCTCGGGGCTGATTGTGCCTAAAAGGGGGTTTCAGCGCACTCCACAGCTGCCTTGGGGGAAGGGACTTTTTTTTTCCTTTTTTTTTTTTTTTTTCTTTCAAATTTTATTTCCACTTTTCCCTACCTCGTTGCTCACTTCTCACCACGCCAGCAGCGGCCCTCCCCCTGCCGCCGTCCCCGGCGCTGCAGACCCGGCTGGCAGGGGCGCGGCTGCGGCCACTGTCCCTCCACCACGCACGTGTCCCGCGTGTGCTGCCCTGTGCGACCGCAGCCGGTGTCCCCCGGCCCTGGGACACCGCTGCTGCCGTGCACCACCGGCTGGGGAGCGGGGCCCCTGGGTGACATCGCCCTGCTCCCGGGGCTCTTTGTGAATAGCAAACATGCTGGGAGCGTGAGTCGTGCTTGCCGACACCGGCTGTCAGGGCGGCAGGGCTGGGCGTCACTGCTCCCCCTCACTTCCAGGTACCTTCACTGGCCAAGAGAATACCCATTGCTTCCACCCACCCCACTCTGAGCCCC